CCTCAGATCAGTTCAGATCAGTTTAGAGAACTGACCTCAGATCAGTTTAGAGAACTGACCTCAGATCAGTTTAGAGAACTGACCTCAGATCAGTGGAGCTCTTCTCTGACACCTGCTGGTCGGTTCAAACGTTACGACGTGCTTGAAAATCTCGGGTTTTCTTCGGCTTTGGGTTTTAGTGACACGTTTCAGCTGTTTGTCTCCTCTGACATCACACCTGTCCTTAACCTTTCCCCTCCATTCTGACCGTTTGTCCCCTCTCCTCCCCCCTCCAGGCAAAATCCTGTTCCGGAGGAGTCACGTGCGCGACGTGGCCATGAAGCGGCTGCGTTTCATCGATGACTACTGCCGGGTAAAGAGCGTCAACACGTCAGACTCTGAGGAACCGTGTCCTTGTTTTGTGTTTCGAACCTCTGGCATGTTAATAGTTTGTGGTCCCCGTCTGGACTGACCCGGTTTGGGTCGTTCTGCTGCTGCACAGCAGCACATGAAGAAACTGCTTCATCCTCTGATGTGAGGACAGGAAGTTCTTAGCACTTCCTGTCCACCAAATAAAACCCCTCAGAGTGACGGCTCTTCCAAGAGAAGCCTGATTATCACTTCCTGTTGGCGGTCTTTTCAGATCCTGTCCTCCATCACACCTTCACCCCCCCGGTCCTCCAGGAGAATCTGGGGGCCAGGACAGGGCTGCTGCTGTCCGTAGATCGCAGTGGTTCTGGCAGCTGGACCCGCCTCAGATAAATAAAACCTGAAAGCAGCTCGAACGATCGGGGAGATTTGAATAAAAGGCCCGAGACGTTCAGGTCGTACCCCCAGGGTCCGGCTCCTCGGAGCTGCTCAGATCATTAAATGTAGACGGGACCAGACCGGTTCTGTCCGAGTCCATCTTTGATACAAACAGCAGATCAGCTGATCGTCTGATTCTTCCTGAATTTAGAGATTTATTTGAACTGTTCTTCCAGGATGGGATGAATTTTATGAAACAAATTCGCTCTCAAATAAAACCACGCTGTGTTTGGTTCTGATCCAATGATCCTAGAAGGTAGACCCCCCCACACATGAACCTCCTTGACTCTGTCCCTCCGTCTCCTCCTGCAGGCTCTGGTCAGGTTACCCCCCCACATCTCTCAGAGCGAGGAGGTGCTGCGCTTCTTCGAGACCAAGGCTGAGGACGTCCACCCCCCCGAAGAGTGAGTGGCACACGAACTGATCCGTTTGAGTTCCTCCTGCAGACCAGAGGTCACTTAAAACTCTAAACTTAGTTTGGATGACACCATCTTCTTCCATTTACACAGGCCCCCAGAAGTTTAAAGCAGACAGAAGCTTTTCAACATTGTGAGGGAAACAAAACAAAAAAAAAAAACAGAAACCGAATGTTGAGCCCTGCGGTACTCCGTTTAATGATTTTTCGTCCATTTTAAAATGTCTCTTGATTTCCTTCAGCAGAGATCAGTTAAATTGATTTAAATCCCACCTTCCTAACATTCCAGGGTTTTACAGATCAGGGCGGAAGAAAAACGGTTCTGCTGATTTTTAAACACAACGCCAGGGTGGAAAGACATCAGCATGAGAGCAGAGACGCAGCTGTTGCTCTTTCCTCTGGGAAAGGTCAAAGGTAATTTCCAAACTATTTAAAGTTCATTATTGAACATACCCATAATGCAGCAGCACGTTTAGAGGAACCTGAACGTCCCAGCTGTTGGCACGGTGGTGCAGCGTTGATGGGTTGGGCTTCTCGCAGACGCTGAGTGGACCAGGAACCAAACGGTTCTGGAGTCACCAGGAAGTCTCGTTCCCTCAGAGTTCAGACGTGAATCCTCCTCTCTAATACGACCGTTTGTTTTCCAGTTTGAACGCGTTCAGTGAAACTTTTATTAAATTTATTTATAAATAAATTAATTTATAAAATATACAGAAGCAGCGTGTTTTTAAAATTAAATTAACTTTTAAATTTCACATTAAAACCTTCTGTCTACGTCTCAGAGGCGTTTTTTTTTTTTACGCTTCAATTTAAACTGGTTTTATAAACTCGTTCTTTTATTTTAATTTGTTTGTTTAATTTCACTAAAGTGCGTGTTTGAGGGAGGACAGGGAAGAAGTTTGATTTCTTATGAAACGCCGGGAGTTTATGGTCCGAGTCCGACCCAGATGTTCCTGAAGGCGGCTTTCAACGAGCAGACGAAGAGGTTCTGATCAGATGGACTCAGAAGCTCCTCTGGGGGGGTTGGACCACTCTCTCTTAATGGTTAGACGTCCTCAGCTCCTGTCAGGGGCTCGTTAGTTTCCTACCCACAATGCATCTGTTACATGAAAATGCATCGAGCGAAGCGGCTTGGTGGGGGAGGGGGTCGAGGATGAGCTCATCTGATGATTTAATGACACAGAGAAGGATGAACTGCTCCGAGGTAGATCCATTGTGGTGTGTGTGGAGACCTGGTCAGGACCAGTAGTCCTTCTGGGGACCACAGTCGGTGGATTTTCTCATCACTGGGGGGCCCGGTGAGACCTCTGCAGGAACCTCCAGGACGGAGTCTCTGAACCATCCATGGACTCCAGTGATCCTCTTCACTCTATTGTCATCCGTTTTTCTTCTGTACGTTTTTCAGCGTCTTTCTCGTTCCACAGTTTTCAGCTATTTCAACAAATCATAAATCAAAACGTTCAGCTCTTTCAGGACAATCCTGCTTTTGGTATTGGTGCAACTTTAGCTTTTTGAAATATTTAGACTTTTCTGACTTTTTTTTTTCTCATAGAAGATGAGTTGAGCTCATTTTTCAGATTTTTAGCTCTGTTTACAACTTTTTACTGCTCCTTTCACATTTTGTTCTGGTTCAGCTTCTTTCAGCTTCCTTGTGTAAATTTAAAAAAAATTCAGCTACTTTCAGCTAATTTCAGCTGTTTTGTGCTCCTTTCATATTCTTTTTGCTTATTTCAGCTTGTTCTGCTTCTTTCAGCCTATTTCAGCGAGTTTCAGCTTTTTCTGCTATTTCAGCTAAGATGTTTTATGCTAATTTTAGCTTTTGCAGCGAATTCCGCTTTTTTATTTTTTAGCTCATTTCAACTTTTTTCTAGCCTAATTCAGCAAAAATGTGCTCTCTTCTTCCTTCTTGTAGCTTAAGCTTATTTCTTCTTTTTTGCCATACTTCAGCTGTTTTTGTTGTTGTTGCTAATTTCAGCTTTTTTCAGGTAATTTTCACTTTTTTGTGCTCATTGCTGCTTCTTTCAGCCTTATTGGGCAAATGTGTTCTTGCTGTTAGCTTAAGCTTCTACCTTTTCAGCTACCTTTTTTAAATAACATTTTTAGCTAATTTCAGCTGTTTTCAGATAAATTCAAGTTTTTATGGTAAGTTTAGTACTTTCAACCTAATTAACTGCTTTATGCTAATTTTAGCTTGTTATGCTCCTTTCAACTTTTTTCCCTAGTTTCATTTTTTTCTGGTATTTTAGCTACTATTTAGCTGTTTTGTGCTAATCTTAGTTTTTCAGCTAATTCCACATCTTTTTAGCTCATTTCAGCTCTTTCCACGTCCTTCTGGTAGTTGAAGTCTTTTCAGTTGCTTTTCAGCAGTGTTTTTTGTTGCTAATTTTAGCCTTTTTTTTTTAGCTAATTTCATTAATTTTTGCTAATTTCTGTTTATTTATTCATAATTCATCAAATATGTGTTCTGTTTTCTTCTGCTGTTTAGACCTGTTCTTCAATTTCAGCTACATTTCAGCATGTTTTTAGCCCATTTCGGCTGTTTTTCTGCAAGTTCTTCAGCAATAAGCATTAACACTGCATTCTCACAGGAAATGCAACTTCTCTGGTTTATTTTTTCTTAACGAATGAAAGACCTAATCTGGACCTTGGGGTGCACCCCCCCCCCCCCCATTCAGACCTGGCAACCATCAGGGAGACTTCTGACGCATCAAACCGTTTACATCTAAAATCATCAAACTGTTGTTTGTCCGTCTGTCCGTGTTGTTAGCATGATAACTTAAAAAATAAGAGCGTTACCAACTTCTGTTTCGGTGTGTGGCTTCGTCAGAGGTCAGTATCAAAAACTGGGTCGCCACGTCAAAATCCAATATGGCTGCCACCATATATAAATAAACCAGCCGCCTGGATCATTTGTGGAAACTATGCTCATTAGCTTTTATTCAGCTTAAAAGTGTAGTTTCCTCAAATGATTGGGAAGGCCGAAGATTAATCTATGGCAGGAGCACGACTGTGATGGACTGAGTGAGCATGACAGCTGGAGGAAGCAGGGCCAGGAAGTTGCATCACTTCCTGGGAAATGTGGAAAGAGGGATGGATAAGGTCAACAAGGGGAGGGACGGGGAACCCCTGACCTCCTCCTGGTGCATCTCAACCTGCAGAAGTAAACATGATGATGGGATGAAGATGCATCAGACCTCTTCTTCTGACTGTCAGCAGTCTTATTGTGACATGCTTCCTGACAGCAGTCTTATTTTGACATGCTTTCTGACAGCAGTCTTATTTTGACATGCTTTCTGACAGCAGTCTTATTGTGACATGCTTCCTGACAGCAGTCTTATTGTGACATGCTTCCTGACAGCAGTCTTATTTTGACATGCTTCCTGTCAGAAATCTTATTGTGACATGCTTCCTGTCAGAAATCTTATTTTGACATGCTTCCTG